TTTCTTAACTGAGTTATTTATTTTGTTGTTGTTGAGTTTCTTGATCTCTTTATATATTCTGGTTGTTAATCCTTTATCAGTTTTATAGTGCGCAAATAATTTCTCCAGTTCTGTCAGTGGCCTCTTCAATTTTTTGAGTGTTTCTTTGGCAGCAAAGAAACTTCTCAACTTGATGTAATCCATTTTGCCTGTGCCTCTTGTGGTCTTTTCTAAGAACTCTTTGCCTGTGCCAATGTTTTGCAGGGTTTCCACAATGTTCTCTGATAATTTGATGATATCAGGTCACAGATTTAAGTCTATATTTAATTTTGAGTGGATGTTTATGCAAGGTGTGAGGTATACATCTTGCTTCATAGTTCTGCATGTGGAAATCCAGTTTTCCCAGCACCATTTGTTGAAGACTGTCATTGCTCCAGGGATTGGATTTTAGCTCCTTTGTCAAAGAGAAGTAGGTTATAAAGGCTGGTATTGATTTCTGGTGTTTCTATTCTGTTCCATTGGTCTATCCATCTGTTTTGTATCAGTACCAGGCTGTTTTGATAACTGCCCTGTAGTATATCTTGAAATGTGGTACTGTGATGCCTCCCACTTTGTTTCTGTTGTATAAGATTGCCTAAGATATTTGGGATATTCTTTGTCTCTATATGAATTTCAGCACCATTTTTTTCTATATCTGAGAAGACAATCCTAAGGATTTTGATTGGTATTGCATTTAATGTGAAAATTGTTTTCAATAGTATAGACACTTTGATGATATTGATTCTTCCAATCCATGAACATGGGAGATTTTCCATTTTTTGTATCTTTTTCTATTTCTTTCTTTTTTAAAAAAAAGATTTATTTATTTATTTGAAAATCAGAGTTACACAGAGAGAGAAGGAGAGGCAGAGAGAGAGAGAGGTCTTCCATCTGCTGCTTCACTCCTCAATTGGCTGCAACGTCCAAAGCTGCACCAATCTGAAGCCAGGAGCCAAGAGCCTCCTCCGGGTCTCCCATGCGAGTACAGGGACCCAAGAACTTGGGCCATCTTCTATTCCTTTCCCAGGCCAAAGCAGAGAACTGGATTGGAAGTGGAGTAGCTGGGACTCAAATCGGCATCCATATGGGACACCAGTACTGCAGGCAGCAGCCCCACCAGCTACGCCACAGCGTCAGCTCCAGTTTATTTCTTTCTTTAATGTTTTGTAATACTCATCATCGAGATCTTTGCCATCCTTAGTTAAATTTATTCCAAGATATTTGATTTTTTTTGTAGCTATTGTTAATGGGATTGATCTTAGAAGTCCTTTCTCAGCCGTGGCATTGCCTGTATATACAAAGGTTGTTGATTTTTGTGTACTGATTTTATATCCTACTACTTTACCAAACTCTTATGTAAGTTCCAACAGTCTCTCAGTGGAGTCTTTTGGATCCCCTAAATACAGAATCATGTCATTTGCAAATAGGGATAGTTTGACTTCCTCCTTTCCAATTTACATCCCCTTGATTTCTTTTTCTTGCCAAAGGCTCGGGCTAAAACTTCCAGGACTATATTGAATGGCAATGGTGAGAGTGGGCATTCTTGCCTGGGTCTGGATCTCAGTGGGAATGCTTCCACCTTTTCCCCGTTCAATTAGGATGCTGGCCATTAGTTTGTCATAAATTGCCTTGATTTTGTTGAGAAATGTTCCTTCTAAATCCAATTTGCTTAGAGTTTTCATCATGAAAGGGTATCATATTTTTCAAATGCTTTCTCCTAATCTATTGAAATTATTATATGGTTTTTGTTGTTCAATCTGTTAATGGGACATATCACACTGATTGATTTGTGAATGTTGAACCATCCCTGCATAACAGGGATAAGTCCCACTTGGTCTGATTACAATGTGCCATGATGAAGATCTTTTCTGGTCATGTCTATTAGGTGTTCTGTGTGCTTCCTGTACTTGGATGTCCCTTTCTTTCTCCAAATTAGGGAAGTTTTCTGTTATTATTTTACTAAAAAGGCTTCTAATCCTTTCTCTCTTTCCACACCTTCAATAACTCCTAGGATACATATGTTGGGTCATTTGATAGTATACTGTAGATTCCCAACAGTGTTTTTAGTTTTCTAATTACTTCTTGTTATTTTTGGTCTGACTGTAAAATTTCCTGTGATTTTTCTTGTTAAAGCTTTCCACTGCTTTTTTTATTTGTTACATTGAATTCTTCATTTCCAAGATTTCATTTTGATTTCAAGATCTCAATTTTGCTGGAGAAATTTTCTTTCATGTCATGTATTGATTTCATTAGTTCGTGCATTTGCTTCTGATTACTTCTAAGTAATCCTATGATCAATTTTTTGAATTCCATTTCTGGCATTTCTTCAATCTCCTTATTTCACAATCTAGTATTGAAGTGTTGTGTTCTTTTGGGTGCATCATATTGTTTTCCTTATTCTTGTTTTTTGAATTGTACATTTATTATATAGCATTATTGCATATACTCATTGGTTTTTTGTTTATTTTTTCCCTGTGGTGGCTTTTATATTTGGATTATGCCTCTGTGGATTAGTGGAGTGTCTATTTTTTCAGTGAATACCTACAGCCCTGTGGCAGGTGTGGCCAGGGAGCTCTGTTCAGTGCTCCAGTGTGGAGAGAGTGTTCACACTGACACCCATGTTGGGCATGGTAAATCTCTTTTTTTTTTTTTTTTTTATTAGAGGAGAGGTTTGTTCTGCTCTGTTGGAGTAGTATCAGCTCAACTCCTTTCTTTAAAAGAAACCAGTGTCTCAGTGCTAGCCCTGTGGGTATAATATTCCTCTGCACTGCCACAAGAACCACACAAAGGATCTGTGCAGTCCTTGGTGTAAGCTCTGATTCTGCAGCAGTGATCCTCACCAGGGAATCAGGGAGCCCTGAGTGCATGGAGCTTCCCACAGTGACTGCCTAAAGTCCCAGCCACACCCTGAGTCCTCCCACATAGCCCGAGTGTTTTCACAGTCCCAGCACACAAGCCTCCCACAGTAATGAGCACCCAGACCCTTGTCTGTTCTCCCTGCTAGACTCAGGCATCTCTGCTTGGCTGGTTGCTAGATGTGCAGAAACGAGCTGGCACAGCTGTTATGTATGTCCCAAATGGTGCCCGTCCTCTCTTGGCTTGTTACAGGATGCCATTGTGGGGTCACTGGGGAGAAGCATGCCCCTTTTTTTTCCCTTCTTTAGGTTGGCAGGTATACTCTCTCCTACAGGGCTCCCAGCCGGATTCCCTACAGGCTCTTCCTGCAGCTTCCTGCAGTGGCTTGGGCTCCTGCAGTCTGGTCTCACTTCACTGTGGAGCTAATGCTGAGGTTCTCGGCTGCTGGGGTCCTGAGTTGTGTATCTCCACAACCACCACATAGGTCCACAGTATCCCTCTAATTTGTGTGGAGTTTCCTCTGCTGTTCCCCCACCTCTTCCCTGAGACTGCACTCTCTCCACTTTTTTTAAAACTATCTTCTCCTAGACTAGACCAGTAAGCTCCCTCCCTACTCCACCATACTGATCCAAACCCTGCATTCCACTGGAACATTTAATAGTGAGATACAACTACAGACAATTTTCCTGGCCAGCTCCTGCCATGTGTGAGTGTGCCGTACTCACCAGTCTCCTCTCCATTAAGCAATATGATGATAGCAGCCCTCTGAGATTTATATTATCAGTTGATGATGACAGGGTATAGATTTTCAAACTCTGAGCTCTGAACTCACTTAGGCTTATTAGTGAACCCTTTGTTTCAACTTAGAAACATCATTGTATTCCGTTCTCATCTGGGGAAAGTAAATGCCATCCTGCTGTGTAGGCACAGTGAAGACAATATAGGTCAACCTTCGTCTACCATCCTTTGGAGACACAGGTAGGAATGTAGACACTTTCTACACAAAGTTTATATATAGTGCTTTCCTTTGAGATGTTTATGTTATTTCAGTGGTATATGGCTCTTGATTTGTTTCCTTAACTAAAAACACACACCTGCATGCATATGAACACACAAACACACACGGTCTCAAAAAATTGATTATGTAATTTTGGAAAAATAAGTTCTTCTGATTTAAATGCTTTAAACGTAGCAGGTTCCAGTTCAGAAACACTTTCCTAGCATGAAGTCTAGAGAGCCTAGGTTCAGATGTAGCTGGAGTACAGGAGTTTGGAGTCTATCTGAAACTCTCCTGTTTTTTTTTTCCTACAGTGTGTTTCAGATTTCTTTCCTGACATAGAAGTAAATCCGAAAGTAGAAAAGGAATTAAAAATATATAACTCCATGAAATGGAATTACTTATTTCAAGCACATGAACTACTTTCTGAAAGTAAACCTTATTTCATCTTCAGATGCATGGGATGGACAGGAAAAAGATTTATTTTATTTTCTAAAGGGTATCAGAAAAAGGGAGGAAATAAAATAAACTGTAATATCACAGAAAAATGTACTATGTGTTTATGTGGCTAGCCAATATGGCCCAAAAGTCATAATTACTAAAGGATAGAGTAATGCTTATAACAGTTATGATAAAAAAAAAAACCCTAATCTGATTATTTCCTGAAAATCAAGAAAGAGTGGCATGATACCATGTAGTCATCAAACAGTTACAATTAAGAGCAAAGCAATAAGTTGGCGATTGTTATTTTTTCTTTTCTATTTTTTGAAGATGTATTCATTTATTTGAAAGTCAGGGTTACACAGAGAGATAAGGAGAGGCAGAGAGAGAGAGAGAGAGAGAGAGAGAGAGCCTCTATCCCCTGGCTCACTCCCCAACTGGCTGCGATCTGCTCTACACTGGGTCTCCCACAGGGGCATAGGGACCCAAGGACTAGGGCCATCCTCCACTGCTTTCCCAGGTCATAGCAGAGAGCTGGACCATAAATAGAGCAGCTGGGACTCAAACCGGTGCCCATATGGGATGCTGGCACTGCAGGTTTTGCCACAGCGTGGGCCCATTCTTTTCTATTCTATATAATGTAGCAAGTTCTTTCATTGATTGAACATTATCTATGGAACTGTGGGACAACTTCCTATGATACCAGTGCAGGATGAAGAGATGCTTTTGTATCCTATGCACAAATATCTCAAATCACATCCTCCACTGCACTCCCTGGCAACAGCACAGAGCTGGCCTGGAAGAGGGGCAACTGGGACAGAATCCGGCGCCCCGACCGGGACTAGAACCCGGTGTGCCAGCGCCGCAAGGTGGAGAATTAGCCTAGTGAGCCGCGGCACCGGCCCCTGATACATATAAATTATAAATATTGATGGGATACCATGTGATGTTTTAATGCTTTTATACATTGTATAATGTTCAAATCAGGGTAAAAATATCTATCTCCTCAAATGCTGATCATTTGTTTCTGGCGAAAACATTCAAAATCCTTCCTTCTGGCTTAAAAAAATGCAGTACATTATTACCTATAACACCCTACTATATAATAGAACACCAGAATTTCATTCTTATTAATCAACCTTTCCCACTTTCCTCCAAACATCCTAGTCTTAGCATCTGATAACCACCATTCTATTATCAACATTTACTTAAATAAATCTATTGAAGAGATACCTATATTCTATTTGTTGCATCATTATTCACAATAGTAAAGAAATGCAAGAAATGGAAGCTACCTATATATGCCTATCAACCAGTTAAGGGAGAAAGAAAACGTGGCACATATACATAGTAGACTACTACTCATCTATAGAAAAGAATGAAATCTTGCTGTTGCAACAACCTGGGTGGAGCTAGAGATCATTGTATTAAGTGAAATAAATGAAACACAGAAACATAAGGACCATGTGGTCTTACTCACATGTGGAATCTAAAAAATTGATCTCATAGATGTTGAGAATCATTCCTATATAATCAATGCTGCTTAGAAAGTCCTTCTTTATTTGTTGTTTAGCGTCCTCAACTGTTTTTGTATTTTTGCTTACCTGTTCTTAATGCTTTCTCCATTGCAGCCTTTCGTTCATATAGTGCCCAGAAACTTTTATTAAGTATTACTTCCTGAAAAGAATTGAGGGAATTAAGATATCTTTTGTCCAACTGACAAGAAAATTGAGCTTTTGACAATAAAAAGCAAGAATATTCAAAAGAACATTTCTTTAACAATTCTTATTTTCCATTTCAGAATTCTAAGATAACCAGTTTGTGGCCCTCAACATTCGTTTCTTTTTTAATTTTAATATTTAGAAAATTTCAACAAGGTAGTCTAACTGAAATAATTGAAAAGTATTTAATTCTTATTAAGACTCTACCAAGCAAAATGCAAATTATTTTGCAAGAGGAAAGTAAAACAATAAAAGACACAGATAGAACACATTCAAGAACACCTTACTCAGAACTACTTAGACTATTATTTATTTATCTAAAATGCAAAAAGACAGACAGAGATGTCCTATCCCCTGGTTCACTTTCCAAATGTCTGCAGTAGCTGGGCCATGCCAAGCTGATGCCAGGCTTGAGAAACTTGATCTGGCTCTTCCACATGGGTAGGAGAGCTGCAGTCACTTGAATCATCACCTCTTGACTCCAAAGGTGTGCATTAGCAGGAAGCTTGGACGAGGGAAGGGACTGGATTCAAACCCAAGTACTGTAACATGGGATGCTGTGTTCCAAGAAGCATCTTAACTGCTATGCAAATGCCAACTCCTAGCTCATCATTTATAGTCAAAATATGTCTCTATGGCAGAACTACTGTAAAAAGGGAGTTCAAATATCTGTGCAATTATATTTGTTGATGTCATTTGGTTTATTTAAGTTCATACCATGGCTTTATCATGTGTATTCAAGATGTACCTTTAAGATCATGCCATAACCTTCTACATATGTGGCCTTCTAAACCCAAGAAAGATTGGAGGTAGTTGCTAAGCAACAACTATGGTATTAGCAGTAGATCCAGAGAAGCATTTCTTGCTTAATTAATGGATTTTAAAATAAAAGAAGTATAGTAGGTAGAGAACCCATTAAGTCACATGTTTCAGTGAAATGGTAGAAAACCAAATTTTAGCTTAAGTGTCAGATTGTTTTGCTACACAGGGTTTTTTTTTTCTTTAAAATATTAGTAGATTTTTTCAAAAGAAGCAACAGAATGAAGCCTTTTCTTTAAAAATATAATGTTTTATAAGCTATTTGAGTAGTAAACAAAAAGTAGATTCTGATGTGGGTTTTCATGTAGTCCAACAAAGGTGAGTAGAACAGAGAGGGAAAAAATACAATGAAGAATGTAGTTTAGAAAATTGTGTTTAAAGATGTGATGTATAACACCAATATCAGAATCATTGAGGGTGCATATTCTTAGATTTTCAAGATTTAAAAAAAAAGACCTATAAAGGAAAATGTTGAAGTTCATATCTGAATATACTTAAGCTTACCTGTCGGGCAGATATTTAGATTTTTGAGAAAATTGCATATGCCTTTCTATATATTAATATAGAATCATATATGTTAACACTAAGAATTGTATGCCTAGATTTCATTTTTTGCAGCCAAATAGACTTGTCTTTAAATAAATTTAAACAAAATTTTTGAAGCACCTTCTTATAATACGCTTTCTTATCTATTATATTAGGTCTGGAGCCTCATCCTTTCTAGGTATCTACGACCTTATTTAAATGATCCAAAACTTGGATGTATTACCATCTGCTTGATCCCTTGCAACAAAATAATAGGGATAATAGAGAGAGGCTTGTTCACACCTTGAATCCAGGATACCTAGGGTCAACTTCAAAGATGAGAAAATGCTACAGCGATAGAACAAGTGGAGACCAGGAATAGTTAAGTGTGGAGGAATAGCTAAGATGTTTTCATGTAGAGCTACAAGTTACCTCATATGAGATAGCATATGAGTGAAAGTACATCATTGTAAAAATCAAGAGAGGGAACAGGAGAGGAAGGAGGAGGAAGGGTGGGAGTGGAGGTGAGGGAGAGGGTATTGTGGGAAATATCACTATGTTGCTAAATCTGTATACATGAAATAGATGAAATTTGTATACCTTAACTAACATTTTTAAAAATTTTTTAAAAAGAATCAGTTTGCTAAATTCTCATTAAAAAATAATAAAGGGGTCATTGGATTTGAGGACCAGAAGAACGTGGTTTATATCTTAGCTATTTCTCCTCTAGTTTTGTGTACTGTAGCAAATTACTTAAACATTAATTACTTAGATTTTAGCTATCTTTAACACAGTTATTTTATTACTACGTTTCTGCTGATGTTATATTTTAGATTAGCAAATAATGAAAAAGAAATGAATGCTTAGGATTAGTGCTGATGAAGAGAATTAATATTTCTATTCATAAACAGACAGTTTCAGGCTCCAAGTAAGTATTTCCCAGGACTTAGGTGAACAGAAATATGTGGGTGAGTGTTTGAAGACATGAAAAGGCAAAGGAACTGCAGAGATGAGCAGAGGTAATTACATGAAGCATGCTCGAGAAATAAGCAAGTTCTGACAATTGGGATAGAGTGTGCATCAGCAAACAGGTTTCCATTTATTTTACCTGTGAAGTGAACTAAAGGTCTCATCATAGATTGCTTTAAGATTAACAAACACATTATTCTAAAAAGCAGCAACAAAAATAGCTCCAGAGGAACTGCAAACATATTTTTTTATCCATACCACAAGTACACTCAGACAGGATGTACCACTTGACTTCTGGGATTTTAAAAAATTGCGATCTGATTACTTTTAATTATAAAAATTATACATCAATTCATTTTCATTGTCAAATTTTAACAGAATCAGATAAAGAAAATGTCTTCTGTAATCTATTTTTACTGCCAATAACCATGTGCTCTATCCCTATAAATTCATTTAGAAATTGTTTCTTGCTTGTTTGTTTCCAGGTGTGCATGAATGCTATATTGAAAGTGTTACTATGTGACTTTTTTGAAATCACTTAACAATATGTCCTGGAAATTTGTCCATGTCTACAAACACCACACATAGCACATACATACTTGTCCATACATATATGTACACAACACATAAAGAATAAATGATTTGTTAAGGCTACATAACATTATATACCATAGAGTAATCAATTTCCATTTAATGACACTGTAGGTTATAGTCTTGCTAGTTAATTTTATCAAACAAATGCCCTGAAATTAAGTGGCTTATCACAATCATTTCACTTGCTTACAAGTATGGAATTTGTATTGGTCATAGAGGGCAGAGTTGTCTATGCATTACCAGCTGGAAACTCAGTCCTTCTACCTGTGTGTCTCTCCAAGTGGTCTGGGATTCCACAGACAAATGTACTAAATCATGGTGGCTTGATACTATGGGCAAATGTACCAAGAAGGACTGTGAGTCAAAATCATCTTACCTTTTGTCACCCAACCTGGGCAAACAATCTCCTGTCTCAGCCAATGTTGATCACTATCCAGCTGTGTAGAGTCACCTTTGAAGTAGATTAAGTAGCCAGTATTCAAGCCACCCCATCTGATGTCTACATAGTCCATAGAACTCTGACAGTAAAGCCAGAAATCCAACGCAGATTTAAAGAGAGGGGACACAGATTCTTTCTCGTAAGGAGGGAATGTTGAATTTCTGGAAAATCATATGGAAAGAGAAATGTTCTTATAGTTATCTTGTAAGAATAAAATATCAGGTGGGTACCTTTTTCCTAGTGTTTAAGTTGCCACTTTACATCAGCATTTCATATAAGAGTGCCTAGGTTCAAGCCCTGACTCTGCTCCTAATATCAGCTTCCTGCTGATGTGATTGGGAAGGCAGAAGAATACAGTCCAAGTACTTGGATCCTACTACCGAGGTAGGAGACCTATATGGAGTTCGTGACTCCTGGCTTTGGCCTGGCCCAGCCTTGGCTGTTGAAGCCATGTGGAGAGTGATCCAGCAGATAAAAGATGTATCTCTCTCTCTCTCTCTATTTCTCTGAATTTTAAATAAATATTTTTTTTAAAAAAAAAGCACAATGTACCACAACTTTTCCCAATCATGCAGTATTAGCAATGATATCATAATACAAAAAATTGCATAACTCTTGGGGCAAGTACGGAAGTATTTCTTAATGAATTACATCAATCACACCTCACCTCTCAGCATTTATACAAATACATTTATATCCTATCTAGCTAACTAGCTACATAGTCATTATAATATTCTAACACAGTCAGTTACAATACATCAAAGCTTCAGTATCTAACACAACCCCTCATACTGGATAATTTCATTTTTTTTCAATCTTATGGGAGTAATATTCATTGGCTTATTTTAAATTTCTTTAAAATAATTTCTTTAAAAATAGTAATTTAAATTTAAAATTTTCATAGTTATTACTAATTTTCATTTTCCTTTCTGTAAATTTTCATATTTTTCACATTTCTCTCCAGTATTTTTAAATTTATAAGATATTTTGTGAAGGTCTTATTATCTTTGCTACTGTGTAAATTAATTTATAGACTGCAAAAATTCTCTAGTGTTTTCTCTGTATTTTAATTTTCTAGTTTTTTTATACAGGTTAAATGTTTAGGTTATCAGCTTCTTATTTTCTGTTATGCGTTTGATATTTTGGGACTTGCATGTGAAAGTCTTTCATAACCCTACTATATAAGCTTATTTAACTTTACTTTCTTCTAAGGCATTAAAGGCTATTTTAGAATATTTATCTTTTGGTCTGATAGCAGTTTTTTTTTAACTTTTATTTAATGAATATAAATTTCCCAAGTACAGCTTATGGATTACAATGGCTTCCCCCCAATAATGTCCCTCCCACCCGCAACCCTCCCCTTTCCCATTCCCTCTCCCCTTCCATTCACATCAAGATTCATTTTCGATTCTCTTTATATACAGAAGATCAGTTTAGCATACATTAAGTAAAGATTTCAACAGTTTGCTCCCACACAGAAACATAAAGTGAAAAATACTGTTTGAGTACTAGTTATAGCATTAAATCTCAATGTACAGCACACTAAGGACAGAGATCCCACATGAGGAGTAAGTGCACAGGACTCCTGTTGCTGACTTAACAAATTGACACTCTTGTTTATGGCCTCAGTAATCACCCTAGGCTCTTGTCATGAGCTGCCAAGGCTATGGAAGCCCCCTGAGTTCACCAACTCTGATCATATTTAGACAAGGCCATGGTCAAAGTGGAAGTTCTCTCCTCCCTTCAGAGAAAGGTACCTCCTTCTTTTTTTTTTTAACTTTTATTTAATGAATATAAATTTCCAAAGTACAGCTTATGGATTACAATGGCTTCCCCCCAATAATGTCCCTCCCACCCGCAACCCTCCCCTTTCCCTCTCCCTCTCCCCTTTCATTCACATCAAGATTCATTTTCGATTCTCTTAATATACAGAAGATCAGTTTAGCATACATTAAGTAAAGATTTCAACAGTTTGCTCCCACACAGAAACATAAAGTGAAAAATAATAGATGATTTTTTTAAATGATGATGAAATCAGATCAGACCTATTGTCATGTTTAATCCCAGTGAGAGTCAAGTTGGGAATGGATAATTTCTTTTTTTTTCTTTTCTTTTTTTTTTTTTTTTTTACAGAAGATCAGTTTAGTATACATTAAGTAAAGCTTTCAACAGTTTGCACCCACATAGAAACATAAAGTGAAAAATACTGTTTGAGTACTAGTTATAGCATTAGATCTCAATGTACAGCACATTAAGGACAGAGATCCTACATGAGGAGTAAGTGCACAGTGACTCCTGTTGTTGACTTAACAAATTGACACTCCTGTTTATGGCATCAATAATCTCCCTATGCTCCAGTCATGAGTTTCCAAGACTATGGAAGCCTTTTGAGTTCTCCAATGGTACCTCCTTCTTTGATGACCCGTTCTTTCCACTGGGATCTCACTCACGGAGATCTTTCATTTAGGTTTTTTTTCTTTTTTCCTCAGAGTGTCTTGGCTTTCCATGCCTGAAATACTCTCATGGGCTTTTCAGCCGGATCTGCATGCCTTAAGGGCTGATTCTGAGGCCAGAGTGCTGTTTAGGACATCTGCCATTCTATGGGTCTGCTGTGTATCTCACTTCCCATGTTGGATCGTTTGCTCCCTTTTTTATTCTATCAGCTAGTATTTGCAGACACTATTCTTGTTTATGTGATCCCTTTGGTTCTTAGTCCTATCATTATGATCAATTGTGAACAGAAATTGATCACTGGGACTAGTGAGATGGCATTGGTACATGCCACCTTGATGGGATTGAATTGGAATCCCCTGGTATGTTTCTAACTCTACCGTTTGAGGTAAGTCAGCTTGAGCATGTCCTGAATTGCACATCTCTTCCCTCTCTTATTCCCACTCTTATATTTAACAGCGATCACTTTTTAGTTAAGTTTCAGCACTTAAGAATAACTGTGTATTGATTACAGTATTCAACCAAAAGTATTAAGTAGAACAAACAAAAAAAAATACTAAGAGGGATAACATATTAAGTTGTTCATCAACAGTCAGGGTGAGGGTTGATCAAGTCACCGTTTCTCATAGTGTTCATTTCACTTTAACAGGTTTCTTTCTTTTGCTATCTCCTGATAGGAGTTTTTATTTCTGAATTATGAGAAATAGATAAATAGTTTTTATTTTTCTGAGTAAGTCAGTTATCACAATTTAATGTATTATAGTTAACATTTGTCCCAATGGATTTATAAATATTATTATTCATATCTTTATATAATACAAAATTCTCATAGGATAAATACATAATATATAATTTATATAACCCATAGAATATACTTATTTATTAGATTATTTGACATAGCTGATTTGTTCATTTATAGATCAATTTTATGTAATTATTTTGTAATTCTACTTCTTTATTTCTAATTGTTAAGACTCCTATTTACTTTTTTCTTTTTTATTTAAGATTTATTTATTCAAAAAGCAGAGTGACAGAGAGAAAGATCTTTCATCTGGTGATTCTCTCCCCAAATGTCCACAAAAGCCAAAGCTCGGCCAGGCCAAAGCTAAGAGCCAAGAACTCCATCTGGGTTTCTCATGTGGGTGGTAGGATCCCAAGCTCTTGGGCCGTCATCTGCCATCTCCCAAGATGCATTAGCATGAAATTGGATAGGAAATGAGTTAGCTGGAACTCAAACCAGTTACTCTGATATGAACCTGTTACATCACAGCACCTGCCCCTCAAGTTTTTTTTTTTTATAACAGCTTTATTGTTACACACTTTACATTCCATTAAAGTCATCATTTTAACATCTATAATTCAGTAGTGTTTCATGTATTCACATAGTTCTGCAATTAGAACAATCTAATTCAAGGACATTTTCATCACTCTCAAAGAACGTCAAGTCCACTAGCAGTCACTCCCCATCCCCTTCTAACTCCAGACCAAGAATATCACTAATTTATTATCTATCCATCAGTGTACCTATACTGGGCATTTCATAAGAATTGAAATAGATAATTATATAATGTGAGATTTTGTGTGTGTGTGCTTTGCCTTTTCTTTTTTTGACAGGCAGAGTTAGACAGTGAGAGAGAGAGAGACAGAGAGGAAGGTCTTCCTTCCGTTGGTTCACCCCCCAATTGGCCAGGAGCCAGGTGCTTCCTCCTGTTCTCCCATACGGGTGCAGGGCCCAAGCACATGGGCCATCCTCCACTGCCTTCCCAGGCCACAGGAGAGAGCTGGCCTGGAAGAGGAGCAACCAGGACAGAACCGGCACCCCAGCCGGGACTAGAACCTAGAGTACCGGCGCTGCAGGCAGAGGATTAGCCTAGTGAGCCGTGGAGCCAGCCTGCCTTTTCATTTAGTCTGTTTTTAAGGTTCATGTTAACATCAGCCAAGGTTAAGTCCATGTAGATTTATTCAGTACAGTATTAAAAAGTATTGTGACACCTAACAGCCATCACTCTTCCTGATTAAAATGCTCTTAGCTATAGCTATAGAGTTATCTGGTTTAATTTTCATATCTGTGTATTGATAAGTTTATTAGAAAGACTTTGAATTTATAAATTAATTCACCACAATTCAAACATCTAGTGTTGACAGCAGCCATCCTTATTTTGCTCCTGGATTTAATATTTATTTATTTATAGCATCAGTAATGCTTCCTTTAGATTTCTAATGGATAAGCTTTATGAAATGTTATAGGTTTCTTTCTATGCCTAACTTACTAATTTTACATTGCGTGTCTGTGTTTTAATCAAGAATAGATGTTGAATTGTCCCTGAAGTTAATGAGAAGATCATATGATTTTGTATCTTAATTTATAATTATAGTATAAAATAATAGCAGATTTCTAATTATTGCCTAAACATCTATCATTAGGGTAGATCCAATTGACTTCCCTAAAATTATTGTTGAATTCTATACAATATTTTAAGTTGAGGTTTATAAGCCAGAGTGTGTATGTGTGTGGGTGTACAGATGATTTACATATATTCGGCTATGTTATCCTCATGACAATCCTATGAAATATATATTTTCATTAGTCTTATCATCCATTTAAGAAACTGCTGCTACCTATGGTTTAAGTATTTTCAAACGTCTTTGTCCATTATATTTATCAACTCAAGTCTTGTTCATGATACCATATAATGCTGGTTAGCTGCTG